CATTCCTGCCCAAAAAAAGCCCTGCCTGTAACACAAGTAGTGGTGCTCAGGAAAGTTTAAATGCACAACATTTCTGGAGTTTCTGAACAGCCCTTACAATAGCTATGCACACACATAATTTTGAATGCATGGCAGGGAGAGGGAGTAGGTCACATGTGTGTGTCCATCCCCCCATGCATTCCCAGCCTCTTGGAAAAAGATGTACACATATAGGCTGTGTTTCCTGATTGCATACAGCCTATGTACAAAGAACTGCACTCTGCATTTAGAAATGTAATCCTAGTCCTATTGCATTATGTTTTGCATACCTTTTGCTGTCTGACTGAATTATTTTCTGTATCTTGTAATCAGCCTTAAGCCTCAATGAAAAAGGCAGGCTGAAAATAAATAAAACTGCACCAGCAGAACTCTTGAAAAGCATGCTTCCTGATTTTGCGAAGAAGAAGAGATTGGATTTATACCCCACCCTTCACTCAGAGTCTCAGAGCAGCTTACAAACGCCTTTCCCTTCCCCTCTCCACAACAGACACCCTGTGAGGTATGCGGGGCTGAGGGAGCTCTGAGAGAACTGAGAGAACTATGGCTTACCCAAGGTCATCCAGCAGCTGCAAGTGGAGGAGTAGGGAATCAAACCCGGTTCTCCCAGATTAGACTCCGTGCACTTAACCACTACACCAGTTGGCTAAATGTAGATTGGGGTCCCCAACCTGTTTGAGCCTGTGGGCACCTTTAGAATTCTGACACAGTGTGGTGGGCACAGTCACAAAATGGCTGCTGCAGGAGGTGGAGACAGCCACAAAATGGCACACAGCTCACCTTCACTCACCCAATAAAGATCCTTGTGCTGTGGTAGCAGCTGCTGTGAAAGCAACATTAAAAGAAATCTGCCAGCCAATCAAATATCCAAAGGCCAATGGCCCAAACTGGCTCCATCCATTTTCTAAAAAACTTGGCAGGCATCAGTAAAGGCATCAGTGAGTGCCATGATGCCCATGGGTACTGTGTTGGGGACCTCTGATGTAGATGTTCATCCAAACTTGGAGCATTGCAGCAGGACAACATGCATCCCACCCTCTAGTTCAAATAAATGGTAAATACAAGGGACTGCAGTTTTCCCTGACTCATATGTTCTGCTGCAGAATTATTATCCTTCACTTTTCCAACTTGTGAAAGAAAGTAGCTTGAAGACTATACCTGGGACAGCTTCCTGCTGTGTATATAGTAAAGGTAAAGGTTCCCTTGCTCGAAAGCCAGTCGAGTCTGACTCTAGGGTTGCGGTGCTCAAAGCTGAAGAGCCAGCGCTGTCCGAAGACGTTTCCGTGGTCATGTGGCCGGCATGACTAAGCACCAAGGCACACGGAACGCTGTTACCTTCCCACCGAAGGGGTACCTATTTATCTACTTGCAATTTCTTGCTTTCGAACTGCTAGGTTGGCAGGAGCTGGAACTAGAGACGGGAGCTCACTCCGTCATGCGGCACACTCGGGTCTCGAACTGCTGAACTACCGACCTTCCACAGCCTGCAGTTCAGCGTCTTAACCACTAGAGCCACCGCAGCTCCTTGCTGTGTATATACACATAGGAAAAAGTGGTTTTACCACAAGTCTGATGGTCTTTAAGTCAAAACAGTCTTCAAAGCAATTTCCCCAGAATTCTATAGCCTATCAGTTATCTTAATTCCTCACAATGTATTTCTTGAAGTGTTAATGATGCATTTCAAGCATTAGTTGCAAAAGGGAAAGTGTGCCAAAGACATCTGAGAATCTTGGCAATGTCCTCCACTACAGACCAACATGCTATGCAAAGGCTAATGTCTTATTGTTTTTTGACCTATAAACTCCAAAAGCTGTCATGTCCCAAATTCTTGTAATGACACTTGAAAGTTCTAAGGTGATTAGTAGATTGAAATAACCTAATGGGTCATATTTGGAAGCTAGAGGAATGGTTTAAGTCAGTGAGACAGGTTTACAAATACATTTTAATCTTCAAGCTTGCTTTAAGTGTTGCTTAGGTCATCTCAACAGAGTAACTCATGTAGGAATTATTTCTGTGTAGAACTATTAATTACTTGGTTGAAATTGGACTGGCATTGCCTTTAGGACTTAAGAGCCTGTAGACTAACCATTTTCTCCTGTACCATGTATCATTGATTGTTTGTTAATGCAGAATGGCGAGTAAAAAAATTCCCTGATTGAAATACATACACTTCTAAATTCTCTGTGCCTCTGATTTTTTCTTTATTGGCAATTGACATTCCTGGCCCAAATAGGTATCAAATAGGTATCTGCAATCAACTGAATTCTTATTAAAATGCTGTATTGCCTTAAGACAGAATGTTGATTTTTCCCATTCGGGTCACTGCTAATTCGATATTATAGCCAAATGTGCTATAAACTGTGTTTAAAAAAAAAAAAAAAAAAGATCTGAAGAGAAAGAATCCATTGCTCCCTATTTCACATTTTTTTTCAGATTAATAGTAAATGCATTCTTTAAATTCACATACAGTCCTGGTTTCTTTCGGGCTGCCCTTAGTGTTGTCAACACTACATAGGTCAGGTGGTAAACTGTCCATCTGTATCACAGATGAAATATTTATAGACTATGCAGCAAGAGATAGTTTTCAGTACATCTTGCTAAATATGATGTGAACAGTGTAACTGAAGAAGTAAGAGAGATATAATTGACTTTTTCTTTGCAATATTTTGATCTTCTGAAATAACATTAAGGACTATGATGTAATTCAAGTTTATTATGAAAGCCAATGTAATTGGTTTCACAACAGACCTTCAGTGCAACCCTTTTGTCTTACAAAAAGAAACAAAGCACACAGTTCTGATAGTGCAGCTTTCTAAAGTTCTAGCATTTGGATAGATTGAGATGGGCTATGATAAAGAAAAGCTGAAAAGCAGCTCTGTAGCTACTATGTATGGCACTGCAAGGAACTAATTAGCACATTGCTCCTTCATTTTGTTAGATCTCTGAATTCAACACATTACAACTCACTGTATTAAATTAACAGACTGTTATACAATATTCAGCCCTTGGCCAATAAATATAGCAATGTTAGTTAAACAGAACTTCTTTCACCATAAGACACCATTAGCAAAGTAAAGGACATAAAATTACTTACCTCTTTAATATAATCATTTTTTTCCATGATTGCAAGAGCAATAGCTGCACATTCAAGTGTGGATAGGCATGAATTTGTGGGCTGTGTACGAATAACATACTGACTTGAAAGGCTAGTTCTCAGTTGCACCTGAAAAACACCAGTGATTCCAGGTTACAGAAACCAAGTCTGCTACAATCTCAGTATTTGAAAAACCTTTTTATTACAGTTATGTAGTAGTTGACTTTTAATGTAATGCCAGGTCCAAAGGTGTCCTTGCCCAAGCAGAATGCAGTTCCAGTTCCTCAATGCAACGTGCCTCCTCCCAACCTAAACCATTCCAAAAGCCCCCCTTATCCCCAGCCATGGCTGGGTGGAGTGGTAACAGGTATCTGCAGCAGGAAGGGGAAAGGTTAGGTTTGGGATTTGCTCATAGTACTTAGGATCCAAGCCAGTGTATATAGCTATACACACTTGTAATAATACCATTTTGCAGTATTATTAGCATGCGCAGGGGACGCTCTGTCAGTTTCGGGGGGATTTAAGTATCCCCCTGATATTTTTTTTCAGTTTTCAGATTTTTGTGCACACCTGGGGACTGCCCCACGTGTGCACAAAACTCTCCCTCCCCCCCAGCTGCCCCCGGTGCGCGGATTTAGGTATCCGCACACCAGGGGGTGACTTCAGTATTAGATATATAGATATGGAGCAGAGGTCCATCAGTGGCTATTATCCACAAGGTATAGATAGGGACCCTGGGGCAAGAGATGCTCTGTCCTCTTGGTGCCTGGGGGGGTCAACAGTGGGAGGGCTTCTAATGTCCTGGCCCCACTGGTGGACCTCCTGAAGGCACCCGGTATTTTTGACCACTGTGTGACAGAGTGTTGGACTGGATGGGCCTTTGGCCTGATCCAACATTGGCATCTCTTATGTTCTTATGTTATGTAACAGTGGGAAGTCATTCATTGTCAATTACTAACAACTGTGCACTTTGCAACATTAAAAACAGGAGACTCCAAGAGAGCTGACTCACTCCCATTTGTTTGGTTTTCATGAGAACTAGAAGCTTCAGAATAAGATAATCTGCTAAAAATGAGAATTGTAATTATCGATATACAATTTTAACAATATACAGAAATAAAATTCTCCTTTTCCAAACACAAAAAGAAAAACAAAGCTTTAGGTTAATGAGCGTAAATAACGTATCTTTTAAAGTGAGTATGTTATTCACAAACAGGATATGTTTGGAATAGTTATTCATATTGGGACATAAATTATATTTAGAAGTCTCTTATCTTACAATTATCCACTGGCACTTAATTACTTAACAGCGATTACTTAAATTACTTAACAGCGATTACCAGAATCACTGGCTTAGAATCAAATTGTGTGATTCTGTAACGTTAATCTTCAAAATGTATATTCCTGATTTATACCATTTATAGTCTTCAATGTGGCTAACAAATGTATTGTTTTCAGTCTCAGCAAGGGCAGGCTTTCACATGTGGATCCTCAATGTCTGAAGAGACTCTCTCACCTACATCTCATGTCCATGGCAGACATGGACAGCTGGATAAACAGCAAGTCCTCCCCATAAGCACTTCCTCCTTGGCCCAATCTGGTAGCGGACCAGAGGGCAGGCTGAGGATGTAGTGGGTTGTGTGCATGGTATTATATGTTGTATTTTATAACAAAAATCTCAATCACTTGTGACAAAAACCTCTCCCAAAAATATAGTGTTAGAAGAATTATGTTGAAGCATATTTAATTTAAATTACTGCTATGTGGTTGCTTTAATTTGTTATTACTTTACCAAGTAATTGTAAAATGCTTTACAAATGGAAATTAATACATTCAGAAAAGAATTCAGAAATGCTGTATCCATTACGGAAGTATTTTAGTATCAAGTTATTTGCAGACTTTGAATTTGTTTGAAATTGATTAATTAGCTTTGGCTAAAGTGATAAGTGCTTTATGCTATCACACGTTAAAACACTTTTTGAGAAAGAAAAATGTCATTCAGTCATTAGGCAGCATGTTTTATCAGCTGCAAAGACTTTCATTGCATTTATAAACAACTGCTGGAAAATGTCACATTTGCTTTTGTGATAGTGCTTAGACATTATTCAATAGGTTGTTTCTTCAGCATCTGACATAGCCTGAATGTCTTTTGACCCAGTGCTGAATTAGCAGACCATATACTCACCCAATACATAAAAGTGATGAGACAAAGAGAGACTGATGTGTCATATACAAAACTACTTACTCTGAATGAGTCTCCTGTACTACCTCATGGGAAGCTCCTGTGTTTTAATCACATTATTTTAAACCAAATATTCATCTAACAGGACAGCAAATCCTCTCCCTCCTTCTCCCTAGACGGCCTCCCCAGGTTCATGATGGTCAGAAAGGAGTCATATCCATCTGTGGTCTGAACCACTGCCTTAAACCTTACCTTCTTCCAGTGCCATATCTGTTATTTCATGGGCATGAGGGGAAGATATCTTGAGCATTGGGCAATGAGAATTTTGCCTTTATAGGGTAGATTTGACTTCTGGACCTCCGGTGGATGTCACGAGGCTGACACCGGGGGCACTCTAATTTAATTTTATTTACTTTTTAGTGGGTATTAATTTATCTGTTGTTGTTTGTCTAATTAAGTCCTATTCTATCTGGCTGTTTTGGTTCTTATCTCTCCCTATATTGTTGTTGGGGTTTTTTTGCTTTGTTATGGGAACTAGACAGTAGGCTCAGTGGGGACTGGCATCTCTGCACTGCATTCCCTGTTTGGTCTGCCTCGCTCTGTTTTATCTGCCTCACTCTGTTCCAGCTTGTTTTTATCTCCGCTTCAGTTTACATTTGTTTGTGTTTCTAATTCTTTCTCTTCCCCAAGTCAGGAAAGTGGAGAAGAAAACAGGGTTGCACTTACTTGTAACAGTTGCTCATTGAGTATCTTCGGTGCAGTCCCATATGGGGACTGTGCATGAGCAGGCCTGCCATTGGATAGGTCTTTACAGCTAAGAGCCTCCAGGGGATGCTGTGCACCAGAGCCAGAAACCACATGTTCCTGCACAGCAGCGCCCCTTCTACCATCAGTACCTCTAGCGCCGCCAAAGCAGAGCATGCCATATTTAATACAAACCAATTTCCCCTTGGACATCATTTTCATGGGAATCATATCGTTTTTAAAATGCAAAATTACTCTAGCATATCTTCCAATACTAGGCAGCCTATCATAGGAGCACAGTGGTATATCAGGTCTATTACAGTTAAGCAATTGGCACAGAGATCTAACAATTGTATTACTTCTCCAATTAAAAGAGTCAGTCTGTGCAATATATGAGATAGCCACCGAATTTCTCTGAAGAATAAGGGAACTAATCATCAGCCTCGTCCTTCTAGTATCACTCTCTAATGTTAAATTGCCTGCAGCTGATTTCCTAACAGTTGTCGTCTCTGTCCGTAATTTAACTCCAGAAGCAGAGCATGCAGTGGGGCAGGAGGGAGGGTATGTGTGCCTGCACAGAAGATACTCGATGAACAACAGTTACAGGTAAGTACAATCCTGTTTTCATCCTTGATCTTCTGTGCAGTCCCACATGGAGATTCCAGCAAGCTACTCAGCAGGTGGTGGGGCATGATCCTCTTGCTTAAACAATGAATGAAGTACTACCTTGCCCACATGTTCGCTGATGACCCAGTTGCAGCTTTGCAAATCTCCAACAAAGGCACTCCACCTAGGAATGCTGCCAAAGAAGCCATCCATCGAGTGGAATGTGCATGGTTCAAAGGGCATGGTAGCTTTGCCCTCTCATAGCACTCCTTGATGATCCATCTAGACAAGGTTTGGGGTGACACTTTTGTACCCTTCTTGCGGACACCAAAAAAATAATAAACAGTCATCTATCTCTATGAGACTCTAGGGTCCTTCTATCTATATATGTAAAAGAAAGTCCCCTCACCCTAAAATCAACGCCCAGGCCAAACTGCTTGACCTAGAAACACCAAATTCGGGGAGAGCACGCCTACTGTGGCATAGACGCTCACTAAGAAGGGATTTTTAGAAATTCGACCCCTAAGTGGGTCAAAGGGGGGGAAATGTGCTCCCCCCATTGATTCCTATGTGGCTGCCAGGTGGCTGCCTCTCTGCACCTCCCTCACTCTCTGATTGGTCAGCTGCAGAGAGTGTTCTGAGGACTGCAGAGAGCTAATGACAGTTGAGGAAATCAGGAGTGGCCAAGAACCACCTGTGAGGTGAAGCAAAGCTGCTGGCCCAGCCTCTCTGATGGCTTCCAACACAGTGCCCCCACATCCTACACCTAACAGGCGGTTGTCTGTCAGGTGCAGCCCCACCTCCACAGTGACTTCTAATACTCTTCCCCCCTCCCCCACTTACACTGGACAGGCAGCTGCCTGTCAGGTGTAGGAGAGGAGGTGGGATGCTTACAGCTGCCGGGGAGGTTTGCTCAGCAGGATTGCCTTAGCACTGCTGCTGGCCCAGCTTCCCTGATGCCTTTAAATACAATCCCTCCCAACACCAGACAGGCTGGTGTCTGTCAGGTATAGGAGCAGGGCCAGGGTATGAATGTTTATGGGGAGATAGTAAAGGACATTTCAAAGAGCCATTTCGATGCGAGCCTCCTTCATGTACCTGAAGAAATGTCCACCACATCGCCACTTCCTCACACCAACTCCCCCTCACACCTCTCACCTCTTACTGCCCCCAAGAAAGCTCCTGGCAAATGTTGAGCCAGATACACCAACACTACAAGGAGGAGGCAACTTAGGAATGCAGCAAAGACATTTGCACATAGTACTCCTGCAGTGCACTGAGCTGCACAGGCCAAGTACCAGCAAGATCACCCTGAGGTGTTCAGAACAACACAGTCTCCATATGAGCAAAACAATCCAGGGACACAAGTAGAGAGGCCATCACTTTTGTGGAAGGCAGCAGGAGTTGACTTAAGAGATGACTTCTTAAATGGCCAGTTCTATGTGGCCTGCTCCAGAGTGAGCTCATCAAGCAGCCTGGTGATCCTAGCACCTGAGGGCAGAACCACCAATGTGGTCTAGAGAGAGGTCCTTCGGTAGAGAAAAAAAAAGTACGTATGTCTCACTTCATTTCTTACAATACAATCTTCTCTGTTAGA